AAAAGTTCGTTTTCGTACTCATACCGATCAAATCGGCTGTGAGTACAGAGTGCTCGTTAATAGAAGTTCGAGTTTCCAAGGGGAGAAGGACACGGAATTATTTCTGGGAAATTTTGATACAATGACCCTGACCCACAGTTACACTGCACAGTATTGCGCGAGTGCTGATGGAACTTTGCCACCAATGGTGTTCTTCTGTTTGCAGGAGGTTAACGGCATTTTTGGCCCTCGCGTCATTGAAAAGGTCAATCGATTACAGGAGGAGATCGGGAACGTGTTCAACACTTGTTCAAAATCCAGGATATTAACAAAGGCTCATGTAAAACTATTCAGCGAGAACATTATCCCCCAAAAAGTAATAAACATAGAGTCTCCCCTTCTGTTAGATTCGTGGATAGGACGAACTGAAACATCGTTATTCCACGATTATTTTACTAATGAAGATGGCGTGAGAAAAAGTGCCGTCGAAATAATTCCACCGAACTGTACCAAATATTGTCATAGCCAAAATTTTCTACTAATGTTAAGTCAGTAAAACCATACGAGTTTTTGTACTGACAAAGTAACTCAGTCGGAAGTACAAATAGAGTAAGACAGTTGTATGTACTTAAAAACCAAAGATATTGAGGGGGGGGGGGGCAAAAAATATTAACATTTAACAATTTCACTGAAGCTTTGTCGGCATTTTCAGTGATGCGATGAAATCCGTAACAGCGACAGTTGTCAACACGAAAGTGATTGAATCGATGATGAGAAAAAAAACGCCTTCAAACCACGGAAATGCAAAACTTCATGCATGTCGAGGATACGGATTGGATGAGCTGAATTAAGACTGGATCTAGGTGCATAAAATTCATCATTGGCGTTCACCAAATAAAGTAATTCATGTTATTCTCAACAATTTAGTAGTTATTTTTTTCTCTCTCTTTTTAGCGGAACATATTCCCAGCAGCGATATATTGAAATTTTTCCAAACAACCTCAATTCAGACAGAACCGCCCCCTCCGCCACCTCAAGATGAACGACAGCCGCAGCAGGGACCGTCGCACGGTGGATCGAAACCTGCAAAAAGTCGGACATGGGCGATTCTCACAAATAGTCATTTCATTGATGTAAATGTCTTCCCAAAGAGTTATATTTTATGATACAGGTATTGGTTTTCAATTTTTTAACCCCAGTTTAACGCACACAGCCTCCTAAAGTGGCTCAGGAAGCACTCAAAAAATGTTGCCTCACTCGGGACAAACCGTTCGCCTGTTGGTATTTCCCTCCGATAGATTTATGACAATTTCTGACTAAAGTAGTTTGTCCTCCTCCTTAAGTAGAATATATTTCACTAATAACAAGTTAAAATATCGCTATTTTTATAAGCGGTATTCTTGCTTGAAAGTACCCTCCTCAATACCGTAAAAATAATAATATAGCTAGACTTTTAACTAGCTATTTCAGCGTATTTCAGGGAAACCTTTGTATAGCAGTGTTAACTGATCCCTGAAGATTCATTATCAAGAAAAATTGGCTGCCCCAAAGTGCCATTTTGGGAATAAAGCTTAAATGATTTTGAAAAAGTGAAGTTCATAAAATGGTGGCTCGAGAGAATTCGAATTTCACAGGTCTGTGGCGAATAAACACCGGGCATTTGATAGGTGATCTGTATGTAGTTTTTAGTGCTGAGTCTGAAAATGACCTTGGTTTTTCTCCAACACCCACTGATTTTCCGGAAAATTGAGATTTTCCACTTAAAATGGACTTTTCGGGAAATGTGATTTTCCGGAAAACTGGTGCATGGTAAAGAGAAACCAAGGTCATTTTCGAATCCAGGAGACAAAAATATATGAGAAAACATGCCTTGCGTGGTTAAAAAAATGTCCACGTTGTTTCAGATAACGGGGTTTTCCTCTCAAATGTCCTAATCGACGCATATGATACTGATCCGTTTGTTTTGCGTCTGAAAAGACGGGAAAATTATATCAAGTTGGCGTCTAATGGAGCATTTTTCATCTACTACTTGATGCTAAAGTCAAAAATGGCCTAAATTCTTTTCTATCTTCTAACTTTTTCCCAAAAACTCGCGTTTTTTGACATCGAATTTTTTTTTTTTATGTTTAATTTCTTCGGAAAATTAGAAGTTAATAGAGAAAATTGAGGTAATTTGAGCTTCAGCAGCAATCATTAAGCCGAAGAAGCTCCATTAGATACCTAAGTATAAATAAAGGCAGTGTACAATGGTGACTCGCGGGGCCCTTAATTAGGAAGGCTCGGATAATACATGATTTGTGTTGATTGATGTGTATTTGATTTGTATTTTTCTCTCATATTTTTCCCCCTTGTCATTTTCTTTTGTTAGAAAGCTACAAAGGTGCCCCAGGAATGAAGGGGAAAGGAGATCCTCTGTTTTCCTCTCAACATTTTCGGATTTCTATTAATTCATTTTTTGGGGAAGAGGAGGGGGGATGGTAAAAGAGATGAGTAATATACGTTTTATATACGATATTTAAACATTTTACCGGAGAGAAAAGTCCATTGAACACTTAAAACTTCGATTGAAATGAGTGTAGAAAGTTTAAACTTATCTGTTGTTAAACAATGTCTCTTTATTTATCTGAAATTGTGCCAAAATACATATCTAAACCCAGTAATCAGGAAAATAGTCATCAAAAATGAAATCTGCGACGAAAAATACGTAAGAATCATGTATCCTGATTTGTTTTATGAGCGCAAACACTACGTAAATGAGCAAACCAAGTCGCGTAATGTGCCATGTCCGGCCTGCCCTATGACTCGATCCACCGTGCGTCGCAGCAAGGACCGCCGCAGCAAGGACCACCACAGCAATACTACTATTATCCACCATACTGGTATCAGCCACCAACAAACCAAAGGGCCCAATCCCAGGTAATGCGGATTACTTCAGACAATTTTCCTTATCATTCATGCATGTGTCCAAGATCCTTGATTTATCAGAGAAGTTCTCGTTGAAAAGTTTAAAAAAAGATCATTCAAGGAAACTTGACAGCTATGTTTAATTTAATTCACTTTTAGACATTGCCACTATTAATTTTTCTTCATTTTTCCTGCTGATTGTTCGTGACGTACAACAATCAGACTGGAAGTGTAACAAGGGCTCGTAAAAGATCATTTAAAATATTTCGAGTAGTTAGGAATGACTCAGTCACATTGCCTCAACCCAAGTAGCACAGTGCAACGAAAATATCTAAATTAAATTGTAATATTTTTACATCATTCAGTTGATTTATACCGATTTTAAACAATCAAGAAAATGAGCACCTTATGTCAGAGAGATAGGCAATATGCAATGCAATGAGAAATTGAAACTTATTTCAATTTTATTGCAATAAGTTTCAATAAATGGGGCCCCTTCAAATAAGAGGTAGGCAACATGCACAACACTCAGTGGTATTGCAATATTTTTTAGTAAGTAACTGTTACCTATTGCGACCTGGCCCTTGTGAGTTTCGAACTTTGCTGATTGAATGAGCATTCATTGACAGTTTAATGGTTGATGTACGAAATATGTGCCATTGAAGTTGAACGATAGAGTGTAGTAATTGTTGACTTAAAGAGTCCGCCCGCAAAACATGCACATTGTTATTTCTCCGTAATTTCAAAGAATTTCATGCGTCAATTTAAACATAAAAAGTTCTGACACTTCATGAGAAGAAAAATTGTTAACCAAACAAATAGAAGAAGGAAATGATAGGAATATTTTTTAGGAACAAAATTGAGATAATTACGAAAAATACACAGTAACTGAAAAACACGATGTTAACAGTGAATGCACTTACCGTTACTCTACCGCTCAAATAAATGTCGGATACACGATACCCTATATGAATTTTTACCCATTTCCCAAAATGCGCAAACATTTGGCACACTTTCCCGGTTATTTTCCCCTATTTTTTTGGCCTTATAGCAAAATTTCGTCATGGAGGACGAAGCTGTTGTGAGGATGAGAGATGTTCTCTGCTGTGCAATGTGTGATGTGTGAGAGATGTTCTCTGTGTGCTGCTGTGTGATGTGTGTGTTTCTTCTTCGAGCTATGTACAGTTATTTCTGTATTATCTCGCAGGTACATTTATTTTTTTCTTTTCAGATGGATCTCGATGCATCATTCAGCGGAGCAACTTATGCAACGGCAACATCCTTTCGAAAATTTGGACACCCTTTGTGGCAAGATTTTCTTAAAAAAACTCCGTCCATCATTTAGGATACCATCACGGGATCTCTTAGATAAAAAATTCTAATCAAAGAATATGAAAACTTTCAGCCGAGATGGAAAAGGAGTTGAAAAAAGATAATACTCTAACCATAAGTCTGGATGGTTGCAGTAATTGTAAAAGAGATTCAAGAGTTAATATTCTACTATTCACCCCCACACCTATATTTTTATCGTCTGTTGACTGAAGAAAGAGTCGTCATTTTATTAGCCCACAGTATTATCGATGAGAAAGGAGCTGAAAAAGTTATTGGTTTCATTACCGACAACGCCTCTAATATACAGGCAGCAGGGCGACTTGTTGACGAAGCTGTTGTAAGAATGAGAGGTGTTCTCTGTTGTGCAGTAAAGGACACGCGAAAGAGGTTATTGTTTGTTTGTTTGTTTGTTTGTTTGTTTGTTTGTTTGTTTGTTTGTTTAGGTTGATTGGCCTAATTCCGCCTTGCGGATCGTATTGACGAATGACGCTAGAAACGGGATTAAGCGACCGCGTAGTTATCATGCAATGGATAATAATTACCAACGGCTGAATTTGCTTGAGTAAGGAAGTGGATGCCTTCGTTGTCCGGTTCGAGCGCCGATCCATAAAATGAAAAAGAAAAAACTGATCCTGGTTTTGTTGTAAAGCCAATAACCGCGAGGACTACGAATGAAAGAGCCTCCCAGATGGAGACTACAAGTTCATTCTTCGTCACCAAGAATTTTTGACGACGGTATACGATCGTGAAAATAAATTACCGGCAAAATAGACCGATGCTCTTACCGAGATTTCTTGGCGAAGACCTTCCCGTGTCGGCTGATATTTGATGGCGGGTCTCGTAGAGCAAAACTCTTGGCCATGTGACCCAAATGAATCTCCTTGAATGGGAAGATCGACCGGACTTCCTTGGGGTAGGTTGAATAGAACCTAATCCATGATATGTAAGCTGAAACAGATAGACAGAAAAATGTAAGAGAGGACCAGGTGTAGAAAACTTGTTTTGAAGGCATCTCATTGTCAGTAACGGTATAGGAGTTTCCAGAAAAATCAGAGTAATTTGGACTTAGAATCTCCTTATAAAAATACCATTGGCAGAAAGAAATGTTCAGACCTTGAAATGAGGTTACGTTGTTTACCTAAGAGACGACTGAGTGTGCCTCAAGGAATGAACTCTGAAAAATTTTTGATTTTCGAGAGAGGACCCTCGAGGTAAATATTATAATTATTTTTCAAGGATTGTCGGTAGAGTTGAGCGTAACGTTTACATAGGGTTGAAATATGCGTTAGAATATCTTCAAAGTGGATCTTAAAAGAAGTCGATCTACCAAAATTTTCGAGGGAGTGCCCTCGAAAATCCCCTTACGTATTGGTAAAGCCCGGACCCTTTCTATGAAAATGGGCACTAGGGCACCTGCCAAACATTTCTCTGGTAACGTCTGAAAATGTTGGCGAATGTTGGACTGATTTATTGGCTACGTCGTAGTTCAAGTACGAGTATCTTGTCTCTAATTCGCGCTCTTCACGCCACGGTTGTAAAATGCGTCTAAGTGTTCGTCGCAATCCAAATTTCTCGTATTCAACGCATCTTAATTGATTCATAACCAATTAAGGACCAAATTGTGAAGAATTGACGCAATCCACTCACACGGAATTTGTACACGAGGTTAGTTTTTGTTTTGGTTGGAACCACTGAGTTAGTGATTATATCGAATGGCCTTCTCACTAAATCAGTCTATCGCTCCAGCGGGCTGATTATTGACATTTAATAAACAAAGAAGACATACTAACTTCATAGGGTATCTCGTGGGTTGCCGCTAGTTAGTCTATAACCTACCTCCTTTATCCACTACCGGCTTCCACCAATAGGATCGCCCCATATCCCTTTTGTCATGTTTGACTATGGCTTTGTCAATTTCAATGGAGATGTTGCATGTGTGAAGCATTTGCAATTTGACTATTGCTTCTTATGTAAAAATTCGCGAGAAACACGATGGTGCCACTGGTTTTCTCTGAAATCAAGTCCCGAGCTTAAAAAAAGCTCTCAAGTTGAGGCCAAAATTGAGGGGATATCCCACGCTATCCTGCGAGTCCACCTCTACATCAAGACGAACTCACCATGCACAGATAGGGAGCAAATACATTGACAGGGTTGCCGTGATTTCAGTTTTAGAGTCCCCAAATAAGGTGGCAGCCCTGTCAATGTATTTGCTCCCTATCGTTGTATGGAGAGTTTGTCTTGGATGTAGAGGTGGAATCGCAGGATAGCGTGGGATATCCCCTCTATTTTGGCCTCAACTTGAGATTTTTTTTTGAGCTTGGGAGTCGATTTCAGAGAAAACCAGTGGCACCATCGTGTTTCTCGCGAACTCTTACAAAAGAATCAATGATCAAATCGCAAATTCCTCACACATGTAACATCTCCATCATGAGCCCGCTGCCACAGCACTCACAGTTGAGAATGGCGGCCATTTTTCTGGATCCTACGGTTCTCGGGTTCTCTCTGTGAGTGTAGCGAGGACTCTATCATAATGGCAGAAGCTAGTTGGCGAGAGGCCCCGCCCGGGTGGGACGACACTCCTCCGGAGCCCCACGCGGGGGACGGGGCTGCATAACAGTGGTGGCACCGGGCCCGCCGCGCCGCGCACACGACACGTCCCGCGCACGTGGGCTTTGTCCGGCGCGTAATCTTACGTCTGTGCCTCTTTACCGCGGCTTCCATCCTCCGTCCCGGCCCGGCTCCCGGGAAATCAGTTCATTATTTCATTTTCCACAGCCTCGGCCTCGTACTTGGCTTCATTGTTACCGCGACGACCTGCCGCATGCCGCGCGCTCCCGGCTAATTGATCGCCTCCTCCGAGGCTCTGTTGCCTCTCGTCTCCCGAGAAATAAGGAAATCAAAGTAGGAAAATGGATAATTCCGAGGAGAAACATTATTTGAAAACCAAGCGAAGAAAATATGAGAAAATTTTACTACTTCAATGTTGAGAGGATGTTCCGATGAAAATTCGAATATGGCGCTTACGAAATGTAGAATTTCCGCTCTTCAATTGATGGAAATCAGTGCTCCCATAATTTCATGTCCGTCAAAAGTTCCAGGCTTCGGAACTTTTTCATTCCGATTTCTCCCACACTAGAGAAAAAAACACATTGGATCTAGAGTCCAGACTCTTGAAAACATCGACAAGAAAAAGTACTCCTGATTCAATCAGAATCTAGCTTAAATCAAGAACCAAGCCTCTAAATTTGAGCGAATTTCGTTTTGATTCAAGCAAAAATCCGATTGAATCAAGAGTATTTTTTCTTGTCAATGTTTTCAAGAGTCTGGACTCTAGATCCAATGTGTTTTTTTTTCCGGTGCACCCCAAGGTCCGGGATTATTGTCAAATTTTCAAAATTTCCAGAAAATGCAAAAGTTCCGGAACATTTCGAGAATTTCAAAAGTTCCGGAATTCGGTGCTAGTTCCGGGAAATGGGAGCACTGGTGGAGATACTGTTTTTCTCCTTGGAAACTTAAATGCTTTCCTGTTGAGACTAACCCGGGCTCCTTTGGAAATGTTGGAAGGCGCCCTGCAACCTGCAACGAGATGTCAACAGTGGAGACGCCACGTTCGATACTCTTGCTCCGCGAGCAATTATGACGGTCGAGATTTTCCCGACGGCGAGACGCGACGAGCACGGGGGCTCAACAATGAACTCTGATCGTTTGGCTTTGACAGCGACCTGGTCTTCCCTTTATAACAGCTCCCATTTAGCCATCAAAGAGGACGGATCGTCGGCTGAATTGGTTGGAATCCTTTAAGCGACCGTTGCGTTTTTGACACCGGCCCAGAAGCGGCCACTTATGGAAGCGGGACTCACGCTGCGCGTGCGCGTGCCAAAAAGAATGCCTTCCTCCGGCCGCCGTCTGGCATTTCAAGTTCGAGTCGTCGATATTCCGCCATCGGGATTTCACACGGAATTTTCCGGCGCAGGCTTCAGGTATTGACGAAAAGAACTTCGGTTGATTTATAAACTCCCCTCCCTGGGGAGATTTCAGAAAATAACGAAGAAAGCTTGAAAATAGCTGAGAAACTTATTTTTGATGGTAATATTGACACGTATAGCTTTTAAGTGGAAGGCTTGCTAAATGCAAGGGCACAAAAAATGTCACCTATTGTGGTAAAAAAGTACGAAGAGGAGTTGCCTGCAATGCCAAGGATGGACTGGAAAAATTAAGAAAAATCACACACATAATATAATCTGTGGCTCTGGCTCAGCTCATTTTTTTTTCTTTCTCCCGGTGGTGCACTGGAAAAAAAACACATTGGATCTGGAGTCCAGACTCTTAAAAGCATCCACAAGAAAAAGTGCTCTTGATTCAATCAGAATCTAGCTTAAATCAAGAACCAAGCCTCTTAATTTATTTCCTTTTGATTCAAGCAAAAATCCGATTGAATCGAGAGTATTTTTTCTTGTCAATGTTTTCAAGAGTCTGGACTCTAGATCATACGTGTTTTTTACTTTCTCGTTTCCCAGTGTGCTACATTTAATTCAAGCGCAATATCGCAGTTTTCACATTGAAATTTCACGCAATAACCGATCCGCGAGACAAAGTATATGGACGCTAACTCTAGAAAGAGTTACACATGTATAAATTGTTAAATAGCGCGTGTTTTTCAGAGATGTGTTTTTTTGGGCTATTTGTCCGGAGGCACATTTACTGTGCTTATATGATCCGCGGGTGAGTAATCCAGTAACACAACGAGGTATTCCCTGCGGAATGTTTTCGGGGTGTGCGGGGATAGAATGTTACACTTTCGTTTACCCGCCTACGGATAATGTTGTACCTTTGTTCCTGTGGACGAATAAAAACACCGGTGTACAGATATTTTAGACAGTGCATGCTACTGCGCATTAATTTAAGCACGACAATGCACGAATGATGGAATCCTTGTTCCTCTAATAGTCCGAGAGCCAGACGACTTTGAGTGACAAACTCGGGATACATGTTTTGACCCCCTAAATCGATAGCCTTGCATGCACCGAAACGGAAAATTTTTGTCTGCCGCCCTCTAGCCTGTGCCATCACCCTCATCTAGGCCCTCAAAGTGGTCCAAAAAACACCATCTGGTGACAAACTCCTGACANTCAGTGCATGCAAGGCTATCGATTTAGGGGGTCAAAACATGTATCCCGAGTTTGTCACTCAAAGTCGTCTGGCTCTCGGACTATAAATAGATGCAGTTGAGGGCACATAAAATCGGGGGGGGGGGAAGGGGGGGCTCAAGAAATCATTTCCGACTTTACCGTTGAAATAATTGCTGCCTGCGTGAAGTTCCGAAAGTTCCATGAAAATATTTCAACGTTGTCCTCAACCTTGTCAAATCAATCCGTCCCGCTCCTCAACACTGATGAGGGGACTGTCTCCCTGGCCTCTTCCGGCGCGCTACCCTATGCGCCCGCCGATTTCGATCCGGAACAATATTCCACCCCCAGCGGAAAGAGAGGAAATTTCGGGATTGCGCCACTTATTTTACCGGAAACGGAGAGAAGGACCTTACGATGGTTCGCCTCGGCGGGAACAAGTTACGAAAGGGTGCTTCCCCGTGACCCGTGCAGACGTAATGAACAACCTCTTACCATGTTCATTCATACAGCAGAGGAGGCCGCGGCCCAAAGTGGCCGAATTATAACAGATTAGGCCTCACCCTCGCTAATGATTGATCAACCCTTCTTCCGATGCGCGGTCAGAGGAGGGTGGCGGGGGGAGGGAGGGCGCTTTCGGTTTGATGGGGGCAGCCTCGATATTAAGAGGCTGTTTCTTCCTGGTAATTTATTTGCCCCGCGATGTGTTGATGGATGAGCTTGTTCTAAAAGGTGTCGGGCCAAGGTAAATTCAACCGTGCACCGTTAGGCTGCCGAGCTAACTGCTATGCAAGCATCGTAATACTGCCGTGCTAAGGCAAA